AGAAACAAAAGACGATTAATAAAAATTCAGAACTTCCGAATCGACTGAGTCATGAACCACAACCATCGACAAGTACATCGAAAGCACCTGAATTGGATAAATTTATAACAACTCCTTCATCATCTGAGGTCGAGAGAGATCCAATTTATGACTGACAGTGCGTTTGAAGAAACATGCACCACTTCCAAAAAAAAGGCAACTATCAATCGTACAATCAATGGAACGAAAATATTCTTATTCCGATGGAGGAAATAATTATTTGAAGCTTTGCAAATGTTTGCTTTATTTTATTTGCGTTGATAAAAGACCGTTTGACATTGTGAAGGGGCGTGGGTTTAAAAAATTGATGCATCAAGCTTGTCCATCATTTAAAATTCCAAGCGTCGATACACTTAAAGCACAATTCGATGCTTTTTACAGTATTATGAGTTTGAAAATTGAAAACATATTTGACAATGCTGCTCACGTGTCATTAACCTTTGATATATTTTGACAAATGGTGTAAATCAAATAACCTTATCTTGAATATTAATAAGACGAAAATAATTTACTTCAATAATAAACCTGTCGCAGACACAAAATTGTATTTAAACTTTGATAACATCATTTTGGAATCATCGGAAAGTACCAACTTTGTGGGTGTTCATCTTGACTGCCACTTGAGATGGACAGATTACATAAATGTATTATGTGGAACATTGAACAGATCATATTATGCTATATCACGGATAAAGAAAACTATGCCATTGTGTGCTTTAATAAATGTTTATTATAGTATAGTATATAGCCATTTATCTTATAATGTCATTTTATGGGGTTGTGCTGCTAACAGTTATAGGGTCTTTCTAGCGCAGAAGCGTATAATTTGAAATATATTTAATATTAATAAGTCTCGTGAAACTTATCGGAATATTTTTATTGAGAACGGAATCTTAACTTTCCCATGTATCTATATTTTTATAGTATTATTGCACGTCAAGGAGAATATTCATAATTTTACAAATAATTCTAAAATTCATAACTTTTCTACCCGAAATTGTGACCTGTTTTGGAATAAGGAATAAAATTTTATAATAAATTACCGACACTATATAAGATAATGGATATTAATAAATTTAAGTTCAATTAAAGAATTGTTATTGACCAAGTGCTATTACAGTATTAAAGATTTTACCGATGATAAGCTGTAACTATGTATTATCTGTTTGTTTGTCTTGATTTATGACATGTCCATACATGTTGTATAGCTACTGTTGAACTGGATCAACGCCATACTGGTGACTATATAGCTGAAAAATTAAAAGAAATTTGTGCAGGTACTCACATCAGCCTGGATAAAATAACTGCAGTAGTTACGGACAACGGCTCGAACGTGACCGCAGGCATAGCTAATTTTCTAGAAAAAAATCAAACACTTGCCTTGCTTTGCTCATACAATCAATCTTATCGTTGAATCTGCAATGTCAGTCAATGATTTGAGTTCATTAGTAAGCAACGTACGAGACATTGTCAAATTTTTCAAGAGCAGTGTAATTCTCAGCGACTCTTTACGTCAAAAGCAAACGGGCTCTCAACCTCTCAAACTGATTTTAGATGTTAAGACTCGTTGGAATTCTGTCTATTATATGCTCCAGAGATACATTGAATTAGCGCCGATTGTTCATCAAATTTTGATGTTAAATACTAAAGCACCACCCACACCCTCGGCTGTAGAAATGCAGAATATAAAAACATTGATTTTAATTTTAAAACCACTGGAATATGTAACCAAAGAGCTATCGGGTGAACAGTATGTTACCATAAGTAAAATAATACCGATGGTGAACTGCTTGAAGGCGCAGATTAATAATATAGGTGGTGATGATAATACCGAGGATGGTGTAATAAATACAGTAAAAAAAAGAAATAATCAAACAGATAGAACGCAGATTCGGACGTACTGAAGACAACCATTGGTTACAATCTCATGTTTACTGGATCCAAGATTCAAGAATATTCACTTTCAGGATGCCAAGGTTTGTGCAAAGGCAATTTCTTTACTGAGACGATTTATTACTACCACTCCTAGTATTATCGGCAGTGAACCTGATAGCTATTCTTCTCACGAAACAACATACGATTTCTGGAGTCACCATAAAAAGTTGGCTTATACGAAAAAACGAAACAAAACAAATTCTTCATCTTCTTCTTCAAAATAAAGATGAAATAAGCCATTACTTATCTGCACAGGTTTCACTACTTTCCTTAGATCCTTTGAAACAATGGGAACATATGAAAGTTGTTTTCCCAAAATTATACAAGTTGGCACGAGAATATTTGTCAATTCCTGCGACGTCAGTACCCTCAGAACGATTATTTTCTAAAGCAGGAGGTACCATAACAAAATTCCGAAACCGCTTATCGCCAAAACGGATCGATAAACTTCTATTTTTAAGCGATTGTACGGAGGAGGAATGGGAACTTTAATGTGTGTAAATAAACAATTTTTTTTAAATAAATATTTCAATTTGTGAATTTACAGTTTTTTTATTATTGTATAAAAATGTACAGTTTTTTCATGTTCTGTTCAACTGAAGCTAAACTGACGTTTCTTTACTGATTGACATTGACGTCCTGACGTATGCGCATTAGTCCTTAAAGGTGGCATTCTTAAAGTGCGGTTTCGGTGGTGTGTCTGGCGGCCGCGACTAGCGACTGCGACTGGTCGCAAATTACTGCTTTAATGCATATTAGATGCACGTGGCAACTGTGAGGCGTTCCAGCCGCGAACGCTGGCGATCGAGTCGCAAGGTCGGCGACTCGACTGTCTATGGGACCACTCTAGCCGCAGTCGCAGTGGAGAAATGGCGCTTTTTTCTGCACATGAAGATGAAATATTTATTAGTAGAAGAACTTCCAAAATATCTCACTTTTTTTAATTATGAAGTACTCTCCCAGGGTTCATAGTTCAAAAGTAATAAAGAATTCCCTGACTTTTCCAGGTTTTCCCTGACTTATAAAAAAAAAATCCAGGTCACTTGTAGTTCATTTTTACATACTAATTGGTGTTTATGCATTAAATTTTTTTTCGACTGGACTTCAAAATCTTTTTTATACCCTAACAACCTATTATAAAGGTTTCAAAACCACAAATAGTTTTCTCTTTCAAGAACCCAGGGTCGGCTTTCACAAAATTTCCAGTTGCAAACATCAAATTCCCTGACTTTCATGAATATTTTTAAAATTCCCTGACTATTCCCTGTTTTTTATGAAGAATAACAAATTCCCTGACTTTTCCCGGTATTCCCGGTTTTCCCGGCCACTACAAACCCTGTCTCCAAACAAAATTAAACTGTTTAGGATTTAATCGACGAAAAAATCCCTTTTAACTTTATTTCATCTTATTTTAAATGAGCATCAATAAGGAGATTGAAATATCCTTCCCTCTTACGTTGTTTGTATATATTATGGGCGCCACACGTCTTGTGCAATAAGGTTTATTTTAACAACTGTTCTTCATAATCTTCTTAAATAAAACAATGAAAACCTATTATATTAACCACCAGACGTAGACTAACAAGTGAGTCGCGCTTTTCTAGACGCTCCACTGTAAATACCCACCCCGCGCGACTAGCAGCTGCGCTCAGTCGCGAGCCGCAGCCGCCAGACGCACCACCGAAACCGCACCTTTATGCTACGACTGAAACGACTGCAGCCGCGCAGCTCTAACCGCGCGTCTATGAAAAGTGTTTCGTTGTAAGTAAATAAATGGAACCCTTTCCTAAAGGTGCGGTTTCGGTGGTGCGTCTGGCGGCCGCTACTAGCGACTGCGACTGGTCGCAAATTACTGCTTTAATGCATATTAGATGCACGTGGCAACTGTGAGGCGTTCCAGCCGCGAACGCTGGCGATCGAGTCGTAACGTCGGCGACTCGACTGCCTATGGGACCAGTCTAGCCGCAGTCGCAGTGGAGAAATGGCGCATTTTTCTGCACATGAAGATGAAATATTAGTAGAAGAATTCCAAAATATCTCTCTCTTTTTCATTATGAAGTACTCCCCAAACAAAATTAAACTGTTTAGGATTTAACCGACGAAAAAATCCATAAACTTTATTTCATCTTCTTTTAAATGAGCATTAATAAGGAGATTGAAATATCCTTCCCTCTTACGTTGTTTGTATATATTATGGGCGTCACACCTCTTGTGCAATAAGGTTTGTTTTAACAACTGTTCTTCATAATCTTCTTAGATTAAATATATAAGATCTCTCATTCATTTTCCCTAATTAAAACAAATAAATAAAATAATGAGAACCTATTATATTAACCACCGGACGTAGACTAACAAGTGAGTCGAGCTTTTCTAGACGCTCCACTGTAGACACCTATCCCGCGCGACTGCCAGCTGCGCTCAGTCGCAGTCGCGAGCCGCAGCCGCCAGACGCACCACCGAAACCGCACCCTAAAGGTGGAATTTCCTAGCAGCGTCTGCGATTGCGATTGACGCATGCGACTAGACGCATGCGTCTGAACGCCACGATTATAATTTCAGATGTTTTCCAACATGCAGTCAACATGTACGTCACGTCATCACTCGTCACACGTCAGTATACATCGCGATTCATGGGGAATAGGTACGTACCTATTGGAAATGAGTAAATTGCTGTCATTCTTAGTTTTAGAAGAGCACGATGATGATGATATGTTGTTATTATTAATGTCAAGAAAAAAGAGAAATATGATAAGAAATTTATATAAAGAACGACGCAGTGAAGGTTTTTCAAAGGTGCTTGTTACAAATCATCTACTCAATGATGATGAAACATTTAAGCAGTTTTTTCGTTTGAGCAAGACACAGTACAACTTTGTTCTTGAACTTATTGCTGCCAGCATTACGAAAACTTCATGTAATAGAGTAACCTACCCAATTACAGCAGAAGAAAAACTTAGTTTAACTTTAAGGTAATTTATTTATCTCTTTTATTTTATAATGCAAGAAATCGGCAATTTTCGGTTATATTAAAGTTGAGTAAGTTCACCGTCAGTAAGAGGAGAGAAGTATGAGTAATATGTTCCTACATCGCTTTGTGTGTCAGATGTAGATGTTTCTGTACGCGAAAGATTATCTGGGGGGATTGGATCAGTCCTAGGTTTTTTTGTGCGAATGGATCTAATTTCTAATTCGTTCACAATACCAAAAATACGAGCTTTTGCTTCTGCTATTAATTCCGGTTCAAAAGTATTTACAGTAATTGCCATGCTTTTGAAAAATAATAATACCGGATCCTGATCTGCAGCATCCGATTTAGAGCTTTTAATATTTTCCATTATCTTTTCTCTATCCGCGGATCTTTGCTTTAATATTTCCAATATTTGTGTATTGTCATCCCTCCTTCTCTTCCCAGTCGTCGAAGAGGGTGTTTTCTGTGACTTAGAATAAGTTATTTGTGTATCATGGAGTGCAGATGTGATGCCTGTAGGCGGGTTAGAGGGAATATTATTTTCAGATTCTGAGATGTCTTCTGGCACATCAGAATCAAGGGTAGTTTCTTGCGATTGCAAATTACTTTGAGTACTGTAAACAAAAACGGTATATATTACTTTTAGTATGTAAAATAGACACACAACCTTACCTTCTTTGGTAAGGCGTATTGTCCATAAAAGACATTTGTGATAATAATGGCCACTTAGATTTAGGTGTTGCAGCTGAACCAGTAGGATTAGTAGTACGCCTTATTTTCATATATGTGTCCTTAATATTCCGCCATCTTTTCTTGCAATCTTCAGCTGAAACATTTTTTTTCTATTTTAGATTCCTAGCTACCGGAGAAACATTTAGATCAATAGCTTTTGCTTTTCGGATATCATATGGATACATCAGTATTATTGTAAGGGAAGTACTTGAAGCATTACGTAATACTTTAGTACCTTTGTTCTTGCCACAGCCAACTATGCCTGATCTCGAAACAATTGCTGATAAATTTTACACCCGATGGAACTTCCCCAATTGCATTGGCGCAATTGATGGGAAACACATTAGGATATTATGCCCGAAGAACAGTGGATCAAACTTTTGGAACTATAAGAATTACTTTTCCATAGTATTATTAGCACTTGTTGATCCTAATTACAAATTTATTATTATAGATGTCGGATCTTATGGTAAAGAAGGCGACAGTAGCATAATTGAAAAATCAATTATGGGTAGTCAAATTCGGTCTGGACGATTCACTTTTCCACGTGAAAAGGTTTTACCTGGATCAGATATTGTTTTGCCACACGTTATTGTCGGTGACGAAGCATTTCGTCTTGATAACCATATGATGAAACCATACCCGAAAAACCAGATGATACAAGACAATACAAAAGCAATATTTAATTACCGATTGTGTCGAGCAAGACGAGTGTCCGAAAATGCTTTTGCTCTACTCTCCCAAAAATTTAGAATATTTTATTCACCTATTGCAGTTTTACCCGAAACTACGGACTTGATAGTTACTGTTACATGCTGTTTTCACAATATGCTACGTGACGAACACTTACGGAATAGTACGAAAACATGTCAATACGGTGCTCTTAACAATGATACACCTGTAAATAATATGTTACCTCTGGCAAGGGGAGGAGGATTTGCCAATATTGAAGGCTTCCAAATTAGGGATCAGTTTAGACAGTACTTTAATACTCCAGAAGGTTCCGTGCAATGGCAAGAACAATGTATAAATCGGGGAATAATATAATTAATAATTTATGTTGGATGTTTCTCAATACAAATATGTGTACTTACGTGTTCTTTGTACAGTTTCGGCTATACATTTCCAGATGTTTTCCCGTACTACCTGATTTTTATAGTCCTTATTTCCTGTGTCATACAAAGCAGGACAGTTTCCAACACATTCAACAAGTTTTTCGTCTTCTGTCGTGTGAAAACTCAGCTTGGAAGTCATGGTACTTATTCACTGACAGTGACAACTGACGTGACGCGCGTCTAGTCTGTTTGGAAGCAGGCGATTGAGAATCGCATGCGTCCACCGCATCTCGGTACGTCTAATCGCAATTGTTGGAAATCTAACGCATTTATAACCACTAAAAGCAGTTCTGATGCGTCTAGTCGGATGCGTCAATCGCAATCGCGGACGCTGCTAGGAAATTCCACCTTAAAGAAGCTTCTGGCACCGCGCGTCTGAAGCGACGGTAGTGGGGCGGCTTTAACGATACGACTCAACTGCTGATATCAGCAGTATAGTCGTAACGGCCGTAGCGACTGGAGTGTTTTTTTTTATATATTCAATAGTGCTTTGTGACTATTACTATTATTAATCATGGATGATGCAACCTTCTTGGGTCTTTTTATTTTATTATTTTTAGTTACAAATAATTTTGCTAACGGTTGCTCTAATGTCGGAGGCTGGTCGTGGGTTCATTGAGATTTGCTTTTTGTTTTAAATTGTTGATAGAATAGTAGGCATGGGCGCCAGTCAAATAAAATTGACGAGGTTTGGAGGATTACAAAACACCACAAATAATAGATAACACAATGCAATATAAATATCTATTATAAATTATTTACGCCAAATGTAAAAAGTATAAATTTTAACATTAATATAAATTATTTCAGCAATAATTCGCTTAATGCTAATTAAGTAAAGTAGAATTTTAATTTTGAACTAATTAAATAAAATAAGTAAATCAGACTAGCAAAAAAATGATATGATAATTAGGTACCCGAGAAACAGCTGTTTTCCAAGTAAAGCTTATCAAATAATACATGAGTTGCAATTGAATATGAATGCAATTGAGTAGTAATAAATTATAATATAAAAAAATATATGCTGCATACGTGCTTTTTAACAAGATGGCCGCGTTTCAAATTCCAGGGGTTGATATTAATATGTAACAGATCATCTACTGGCACCAAAATTTACGTAGGTAGGTACTTCTTGCGTGCAAGGTGACCCTTTTCCTTAATAAGACTTGGGCCCTTCTTTGCTACTGTTCAGCCAAACCAATCCACTATGCAATAGTAAACAGCACAAATCCCAGACTTCCAAGTTGGAGTTTTAAACAGTATAGTTCTTCCAAATATATTCGTGGTTTGTGGATTAAACAGGATAATTCGTCACACGACGAATTTAGGAATTTAACGAACAAGAAGAAAAGGTGAAGAAGGCCTAAAATAAATGCATTCTGTAGTACCTGGTATAAAAGAACAGATGGTAATACATAAGAAATTAATAGAGTTGAAATTATTCTGGTAGTTTAACATTAGTATTAAATATCCTTTTTTAATTTAAGTTTCTTTGCAATTAATCAAAACGATATATAAAAATCTTAAACATTTGTTAATTTAAATGTGTTTAATTACCTTAGTTGTTATTTGGCCTTCTTATTGTAAAAGATAATATTTTACATTAATTATTTGTCTCTAACAAATTCTACTAGGTAGCTTAGATCTTCTGTCCTCGCGATTTTGCCAGACCTCTCGTCGCTCGGCGTTATCCCAAAAAACTTTTTCTATACTTAGTTTTTACTATTGTTTAAATCAGTGTATACCATCCGTCTCTGCAGTACAATTTGCTTTTAATCTCTTATACCAGATGTCCTCTTATGTTTTAAATGCATTCATTTTATTTGACATGAGCTGTTCAAAGGTTTGCATTTACAATGCCCTAATGTTTATTATTAGTAAACTGTTACAATGATTCTAAATTCATTGAGCTAGTGTGAGAACACCCATCTATTTATAATCCTAAACACCCCGAATACAAAGATTCCAATGTTAGAGATAACGTGTGGACAGAAATTTCGAGTGTTATGAAAGTACCAGGTGAGTATTTAATTTCTATACATTTATAATTACAGTATGATATTTATATTTGCAATACATTTACTTATTATTCATAAGCTGAAAAGTATCACATCTTCATTTTCAATCGTTTTTGTCTGTTCTATTTACTTGTTTCATTTGCCAATGTACGGATCCTCTGCTACTATTGAAGTAATCAGAAAAACCTTTTCGTATTTCAAAGCCTTCAATGTTTCCAAAGCCGCCCCTAGCACGCGAAGGAATCAAATTTTGTGTTGGTAATTGTTCCGAGTTTGAAAGGTCAAAAAAACATTGTCGATTTTCTTCAAGAAATGCATCCCTTAACATATTATGAAGACAACAGGCAGTCATTATTAAGTAGTCTGTAACTTCTGGATTAACAGCTATTGGGATATAAAAAATTCGAAAAATTTGACTTAGTAGAGCGAATGAATTTTCTGATACTCTTCTTGCACGTGAGAGCCTGTAGTTGAAAACAGCTTTTTTTGTATCAGCACGAGAGTCGTTCCTTGAGAAAGGTTTCACTAATTTGAAAGCTTCGTCTCCTACTACTACGTAAGGTAGCAGTTTTTCTCATATTTGTCTTGGTGGAGGATAAAATTCTTCATTTTTAATCAGTTTCCCTAAATTAGATTTTTCTAGGATACCACTGTCACCTTCTCTACCGTATGAACCGATATCAACCATTACAAATTTGTAGTTAGCATCGACAAAAGCAAGCAAAACAACGGAAAAACAGTCTTTATAATTAAAAAATTGAGAACCACTTTTTCCAGGACAAAAAATTCTAACATGTTTGCCATCCACAGCTGAAATACAATTTGGAAAATTCCATTTTCCTTCAAAGTCTTTGGCTAGTGATAGAAGATCTTGTGGGGTAGGAGTTGGCATGAAAATAGGTGGAAGTCTTTCACTGCATAGTTTTAGCACTTTCTTTACAATGCGACTTATGTAACTTGGTGATATTCGAAATGCAAAAGCTAAAGATGCATAACTTTCTCCAGTAGCTAAAAACCTAAAAAATAAAAATACAGCTTTAAAGGCATATTTCTCTTTTAGTTGAAGAATGTAAAAGCTGTTGGAAAAATATTCGAGATACTTATATGAGGCGCAAAGAGAGCAAAAAACTGCCTACAGGCTCCCCCAGTTCAAAGGTATTACGGAAATGGCATCTCGAAGAACACCTTGTATTCCTCAACTTGGTTGAATGCGAAAGAGCGTAAGTAAATTACGATAATTAAGGATAGTGCCTGAAGGACGGCATTTAACTTGAACGGGTGTTTTGAGACAAATAACCTTTACTACATTAGCATTTTATTCGATTTTTTTTCAGGACTTTGACAAATACTGCCACACAAGGTGAGACAACAGAAACACAAGATGATGGTACAGAATATGAAACACAAAATAAAGAAATGGAAGAAGAACCGGATGATCCTGAAAAGACCCTTGACAATAGTAACAATGGCAATATCCCCACTATCCCTGAACAACAATCTGAAGCAGGTGCACTGAACAAGCCGTCCAATAAGCGATAACCAGACAGCAAAATATCGTCAGAAATTATTGCAAAAATGTTTAAGAAAAATTCTGATGATAGGGCAAAATTATTATCAACAATTCTGGCAAAGCCAGCAGAACAACATCCAATAGATGTGTTCTTCCAAAGTATGGCGATGTCGGTTAAAAAAATGTCCCTTGAAAATCAAATTCGTGCCAGAATGGAAATATGTCAGATTTTTGGACAAATAGAGTTGGAAGAAATCCGTAAAACCTCAAACTCTTCATGTTCAGCTCAGTATGATATACTACCGCCTACTCCTACTCGTCATGCATCTTCTGTTTCTCGTCAATCACCGCCATCATCTTCAGTGGAGTATGAAATATTATCGCCTGGTCCTGCTCCCCATGGATCTTCTGTTTCTTACCAGTCACCGCCTTCTTTGCAAGATAACGACGTGCAGTATATGACAAACATGTCTGGTTTAAATTTTCATTAGATATTACTACTGGGTAACTATTTTTACGTTTTTTTCTAACGATTAGGTACGTTTTGTTATATTTCTCAAATAAATATATTGAGCTTAAAAAATGTATATTTGTTCTTACCTGAGCGTCAATCCCAGTTTTTCTGCAGGGCTTATGGGCTGTTTTACTTTATTACATGACTGTCCTTTTAAATCACTTTCAATACATGATAAAATGTAATTAAACTGGCTTCTGTTCAAACGGAAAAACTTTCTAAACATTGATTCATCTTTTAGTAGATGTCTTCCCAGCAAACACAGTTACATATAATAAGCATATATGGTACATCACAATAGGCACGGGGATATAGAATATTTTAGACCAACTATGTTATGAACACATGACGGGTACGAGCAAATGTCCGCCGCACGTCAACGTAATGCATATGTCACGAGTATATAGAAATTTTTGCATTAACGGTACGTCCGCAAGTAACGTTACCGACATGTAAGCATTTTGATGTCCGATGTTTTACAGTTTTATGACGTCAACGGTATATCGGCATTGCTACGTAAATAGTACATTTAGCAGTATTGTACTGTACATGTACACCATTTTATGTCCGCCTTAAGTAGCACTTTTATATAACCAGTACATAGGTAGACGCATGCCAATAGTACATCCCCTTTTTTATATTTCTAGTCCCTATGTTCATTATACAGTGTGTTTTAAGTATGGTCCGTAACTACAGGGTAATTCCTTACGATATTTTAAGAAAAAAAATTGTTAAACATGTATCTGGAAACGTTTATATGCTGACATACAGGGTGTTGAAAATGTCAAAAGAATCGGCTCAGCCAGTGCTGTATATAAATTAACTCAAAAATTCTCTAATTAACAGTACAAGACCTTATTTGCAAAAATATTAATATTTTTAACATTTTGAATACCTGTATCTCGAAATATAACCATTTGCGGACACACTTATATTAAACTTCTTTTCTTAAACCGTCACAAGGAATTAGAATGTAGTTACGGACCGTACTCACGAAACACCTTGTATAGTATAGGTGATTTAAATCAACCATACACCGATATTGCAAAAATGAACAAACTGAGCTATTACATTAAAAGCTTATCTTCAGTAACAATTTTTTTAGAAGTTATCAGATTTCCTAATAATAATTTATGTAAATTACAAAATTTAATACAAACATTTTCTATTAAATTTCCAATCAATCACAATCAATAACCAGAACTTTGTACTAGTACATTTTTTATAATTTATTGATTCATCCAAAATAAAACCTTTGACGTTTAAACGATAAAGATATTTTGAAGAGATTCATATAAATTTTAACTAGACACTAATTTAACATTATTAATACAGGTAAAACATACATATTTCAATATATCTATTAATTAATAATAATTAACGTTTTAACTTACCTTCTTCAAAATATATATAGTTGTATATACACAATATATTAATTTTACATTAGGCAAGAAGAAGTCATCTCGGTTATAGTTATGTATACAGTATGTTCACGGTTATAGTGAATAAGAGGAAAAACTTTTTTATTTTACTTAAAAAAAGGCTGTTGATAAAATGTTTTGCTTGTATTTAAAATAAGTTTGCCATGAACCAAAGTTAATATTTCGTATATAGGGTATCCAGAATATATAAAAAATGTGAAAATATAAGAGTAAACTACCATCATTTTTACCTTTTCTGAAAAGTTTCACTAGGAAAAGTTATTGGAAATTAAGAGTTGAAATTAATAATGGTAAAAATTGACACTTCCAAACAAAATTGAATACCCTAATTGGTAAAAACTGCAATCCTTAGCGTAGTACAAATTACTTATTTTCAGTGCCAATTTGATATTTCTTAAAAAATATGGTTTTGACCCCCTAGAAGTTGAAATATATCCAAAACCGTTTAATTTAGTTATAGGGAATGCACAAAAAAATTAAAAAGTAATTTAATATGTTCCTGAAATTGATGTAATTATATTGAGGTCAGGTCCTCCAGGAAAATAAAAATAGACCGTATGGTACCATTGGTGACAGATACCAAAGATACAGGGTGATGAATACATTGCGATTATGATATAAAAGTGATCATATCTTTTGAACTACCCTGTAGTAATTACTACAGAGTAGTTCAAAATATAAGGTATTAATTAATACCTTATATTTTCAGAAAGGGTAAAACGAACTGGTTGCAAAGAACACCCTGTATGTTCCATATTTTTAAAATATTTTTTCAGGTGTCTATGATCTGTCAAAGTAGTTTTATTGTATCTATTGTGGTATAGGTATTATTAATCGTTATGGCACTACCGACTCACTGTATAGTCATGATAGTATTAGCACGATATAATCAGGAGAATGGGGGGGGTCATTCTGTTCATAAGTTTTTGTAATTATGGATCTGAAAATATAAAATTTGAGCTAGTTTACACAAAAACAATCGTTAGTAAGAACATTGATTTAATCATAATAAAATTTTTATTTTACACCGCTGTTCTGTTCCCTCACTAAACGTTGTTTACCATGTCGAAACCATTCAGACGATACATGTTCAAAATCTTTATACTGAAAATCAGCAAATGCCTTTGTGACCACATCTGTAATAATTATGGGATTAATAAATTAACTAGTTGGAGTACTACAGTCAAATCACAAATTAAACACATGCACGTCATCTGTCAATCAAATTAGTTTCTTTTAAATTAAAGATATAATCCATACCTTACGATAGCCACTGTAGCATGTACAAATGAAGCCCTAATTAACCGTTATGTGTGATAAAATATTGAAAATCATATTGCAATTAGGAATTAATACAATATATAAATGTATCAGGTTAGTGATGTGCATACGTTGAATTAGTGATTCATCTATATATCTTGTGTTACATAAGTGTATACAAAAAGTTCAGAGATAGTTTGCTTGGCAAATTTAAAAAAATTAATTGGAGCAAATTAAAATTTGTTAAGAAAACTCTCTGAATTTTTTGTACACATTGGTACCTTTTAGTAATGTTACTAGTGGTGAACCCGATATTCTGTAATTATTTCTCAGTCCAAGCCATGAACATTGAATGGCAAATTCATTTGAAAAGAATACTTTATATATTCTATTTAAATTTTCCTTCCCCGTTGCACCACCTATTTTTGTAACAAATCGTAACTGTAAAGGATGAAAATAAATAACTAAATGCAGTATACATAAAGAAAAACATACCATAATTAACTTATATTTCTCTTCATTAATATAATTTTCCACTTGTTTTAAATCTTCAACGCTTTTAATTGGAACCATTTTTCTTATATCCGCAAATTCATCTTTATTAGGATTCATATTGAGATGTGAACTAAAAATGTCTCTCATGTCAGCTAATTGTAAATCTAAATGTGCTATCATCTTTACAATTTTATTTAACTGCTTTTCTGTAATAAATACAATGATTATTAGATATTTTATATAAAAACTTGAATTTTATAGTATTCTATTTTTCAAACACGCATATAAAAATATAAATTCCTTACCAATGTTAGCATGCTGACAATTAATTTCTTTCAATTCGGTAAGTGTAACATCATCTAAAAAAGTTATTATTATAAGTTAAGTATTTAACAGTGCGAATGTCGGCAATGGGGCACTCTAAAAATAAAGTACACTGTTTACTTATAACAACACTGGCATCCATCGATTTTCTTTTAAATTTTTGCTTATTTGACACGTTTTGATTTATACTTGATTATTCTAAATAGCTGCACAAATGTCATATTTAATTCCTTAAATGGGTCACACTGCATTTTTTCCCACGTATAGATAGAACATTCTTTTAATAATACAGAGCTATATAGCTATAATATGATAGGTCTCTAGGAAGAATAGTCCATAGGCTCGATAGAAAAAATAGTCGAAAATAATGAACACTGTATTTGTAAAAGAACCTTATATACAAATGTAGAAAAATATACAGGATGATGTAGGTAAATAAACTACTTTATTTTTAGAAGGTTCCATAGCAGGGAACACTCGCTGTATATACCATAATGCAAAATGCAAACAATGCTGTTTCGTTCATATTGTTTTGGATCGACTGATCTGTAGGACTCTTAATTAATCTATGTCTATAGAAGTCAAGATGGAAATGAAGACAACATTTTGTTATCTTCTGGAAGCCTGAAGGGTGAATAATACAACAAAAAAGAACTCACTATAATTTGAAAATTGATGATTTTGTAAAATCTATAAGTTGACAATTATATATAGGTAATAGAAAATGAAATAGCTTCTTCCAAAATATATAATTTTACCATCAAATGACAATGACAAATATATTTTTTTTCATACCTCGGTCGAAAGTACGTACTTTCGTCCCTAATAGCAGGGACGAAAGTTTAACATTTACTACCTGTGAGAAGTACTTACACCACAAGGGCCGAAAGTTGAATTCTCGCCCGAGGCAAAGCCGAGGGCATCATGACGCGCAGGGGCGAGAATTCAACTTTCGGCCCTTGTGGTGTACTACTCACAGGTAGTAAATGTTAAACTTTCGTCCCTGCTATTAGGGACGAAACTATGTACTTTCGACCGGCACCAGAAAAATCGTATACACTACACGGGCCAAAAGTTGAAATCTCGGTCCTACTCGTCATGATGCGCAGGGCCGAAAATTCAACTTTCGACCCTTGTGGTGTAATATAATATTCTGAGTTATTTTATTGCAATGTTATAATTTGAACTTAATTTTTCATTATTTAACTTTAAATAAGTACTAGTTAATACGGTGTATTCTAATGCCTAATGGTAAAAACGAAGTGAATTCAATCATTAATTTATAATTCATAAACAGGACCATGTAAGAAACTTACCATTACCAATGCTATTATTCTCCTCAATGCTATTATTCTCCTCTTCAACTAAAGCACACTGATCTGAATTGTTACTACCTTTAAAGATAATGTATTTATGAATTTGATAATGTTATGATAGTTTATTTATATTATATTAAATATATAATATTTATGAATTAAAAGTTTTTGTAATTTCTGTGAGGTATTTATTTTCCAAAATAATGATGTACTTACTATCCGAATGAAAATGTACTACTTACTCGATAGATCTTCTACGAGTGTTCCCTGCTGTGTTATTGTGAATATACGTGCCTCTTCCAACAAAGGTTCTTGTTAGAACACTTTTGACAAAAATGGGAGCCTTCTCTAGTTCTGGAAATATAAATACCTATTAAACACATTTCCAGTGTATTCCCCTTGGTTAATATAAAATATAAACTATAAAAAACTAAAAAATCCAGTCCTATTTCACAAAATATTAAAAAAGCTGTTAAAAAGTAAGATAAATTATAAATGACAAAATTATTTTGATGCTGAATAAGGTTGACATTATACACTCAAAAAATAGGTACATAACGACGTTCCCAAGTGATTTTCTTCACGAGATTGTATCTTGTCCACCCACTCACTATGCTACCTCGAAAGAAGAAAACCCAACCTTTTATTTTTTTAGGCTTCCAAAATTGTAATGCAATCATATATTTAATAACGACAAAAATTACCAATTTTTCAAAATTTTTCTTATTGCAAAATTTATAAACATTGATCACATGCAATTATTAAAAAAAAATATTGTAAATACAAATCTTACTTCGTTTTGCCAAAGATTCTTCCGAAGAAGACGAGTCATATTCTGAAAATTCTCTATTAACTGGTTTTTTTTGTCTTCTCCCTCTTCCCCTTTCTTCTTCACTTGTATAATTTATATCCTCCGCTATTTTTCTGGCTTTCTCTAAATTCTCTAAAAAAAAAAACAAAATAATTTTCAACTAGAACAGAACATTTTAAAAAATATTTGATATTACCACAAAACCGCTCAACAACTATGTTGTACTGATTCCAACTTTCATCCGGTGTGCTGTTTCGCAATATATATGAGCTAACATTTTTTGTTGGTGACCACCAACACATGGTATTGTTATCAAATAACCATTTTGATGGTATTTCTGACACAGACTCATCGTCTTTAATAATGGCATACATCTCCGAATAAAAAATATTAATCTTATTAGGTAACTAATTCAGTCAATCCGACTAAAAACTAAACAAAATGTTTTAACTGGGATCATTAATTTGGATTAAGCTTGTCTTTATCAAAAAAAAAAAACTGGGTCAGCATCTGCATTAATTAGTCATTAATGAGTCATGTATAAAATTATAATCCAACTGGCATTTGCATCTTAGATCCACTGAAATGTTTCCAAGAGTACTTCAGTGATATAAAAATTATTAGGTAATTATTTTGAGTTATTATGTCAATATTTCAATTACTGCAACACTTTAAATAGTTCTGTAACACTTTTTCATAAGAAAAATTGCACACACAAACCATTGCTTTTAAAACACTAAAAAAATGTCAGTCAAATATGTCAAACATGTGACAAATGTCAAGGAGATGCCAAATAGACATCAAAACTTTATTCACACCCCAAATAGCGCCATCTGTTGGTAGATGATTGTTCCCCATAGCCATGAAAATTGAAATCAAACACTAATCTATGCAGATGCCGTACCAGTTCTTTTCTATCAAGACGGTACATTCTTTAGAACATGGGACATAGTTAACACACTATTTTATTAAACCTAAATAATTATATAGAGTGATTCATTAATAACGGGGCAGAGCTTAACGGCAAGGTGCTGACTTCAAAATATAGCAATTATGTAAGTCAAATATGCCTTATACAAATCTTGCTCCTTTCCCCCCCTATAGGGGGGCTGAAAGTGAAAATTTATTTATGAAAAAACGTAATAATTTGAAAACGGCTGAACTTATTGGTACTAAAATAAATACAAACATGTTTTTTAGGATAATAAATCTGAATTTTGAGATTCCGCCTAGAAGGTGCTAGTTACACACACATAGATAGATAAATTCAGTCCGATGTTTTAAATTATGAAAGAAGATTCTTTTAAGTAGTGTAGTATAACAACCCCAGGTTCGATCGAAAAAAATAACAAACGTAGTTGTGGCCAAAAATATGTGATCGTCATAAGGAATACCTACGTCGTGTGTATCTATTTTTATATTGACCGGAAGGCGCTGGCTACTAACTTTNCAGAATTTCAACGTTCGACTTCAAGAGTGTATGGAGAGAAGAGGAGGTCATTTAGCTGGCATAATTTTTAAGAAATAAAAATGGCACACATTTATCTTGTTATTGTTACACTTTGTTTTAATTAAATACAGATACTTTCGGAAATACGTCGTTTTCAAAACTTCCCGCTCCCATGGTCCACCTTGTATATGAGCTAACATTTTTTGTCAGCCACCAACACATGGTATTGTTATCAAATAACCATTTTGATGGTATTTCTGACACAGACTCATCGTCAAATTTAACAATGGCATACATCTCCAAATAAAAAATATTAATCTTATTAACTAATTCAGTCAATCCGACTAAAAACTAAACAAAATGTTTTAACTGGGATTATTAATTTGGATTAAGCTTGTCTTTATCAAAAAAAAAACTGGGTCAGCATCTGCAATAATTAGTCATTAATGAGTCATGTATAAAATTATAATCCAACTGGCATTTGCATCTTAGATCCTCTGAAATGTTTCCAAGAGTACTTCAGTGATATAAAAATTATTAGGTAATTATTTTAAGTTATTACATCAATATTTCAATTACTGCAACACACACACAAACGATTGCTTTTAAAACACTAAAAAAAATGTCACTGTCAAATACGTCAAACATGTGACAAATGTCAAGGAGATGCAAATAGACATCAAAACTGTATTCACACCCCAAATAGCGCCATCTGTTGGTAGGTGATTGTTCCCCATAGCCATGAAAATTGAAATCAAACACTAATCTATGCAGATGCTGTACCAGTTCTTTTCTATCAAGACGGTACATTCTTTAGAACATGGGACATAGTTAACACACTATTTTATTAAACTTAAATAATTATACACAGGGATTCATTAATAACGGGGCAGAGCTTAACGGCAAGGTGCTGACTTCAAAATATAGCAATTATCTAAGTCAAATATGCCTTATACAAATCTTGCTCTTTTCGATCTACAGGGGGCTGAAAGTGAAAATTTATTTATGAAAATATGTAATAATTTGAAAACGACTGAACTCATTGGTACTAAAATTAATACAATCATGTTTTTTAGGATGATAAATTTCAATTTTAAACTAATTTTGAGATTTCGCCTAGAAGGTGCTAGTTACACACACATAGATAGATAAATTCAGTCCGATGTTTTAAATTATGAAAGAAGGTTCTTTTAAGTAGAAATGGTACTTCATCGATTTCTCTAACTTTGTTTTCGAGATATTCGTAATATTGCATTGCTTGGTAATTTGGTTCGACATAGTGAGAGTATTTAAAAGAACAATCAGACAGAGCAATTGTAGACAGAGGACGTTAAAATAAAACAATTGACTTAAACATGTCTTAGAAAAATGTCACTCCGTACCAAAATACAAAGTTCGTGAGGAATCAGAGGAAATGAACAAAATCTGCTTCCTCTGATTCTGAATACACAATTCGATATCTATTGTATCGACTAACGCATTCTATGACCCTTATGTTACACTTAATCGGAGTCATAGAATGTGTTAGACAATATGATATGTATCAAATCGTGTATTCAGAATCCGAGCCCTGTATTTCGGTAAGGAGTGACTAAGGCATGGTTTTGTGAATCGTTTTATTTTAACTTCCTCAGTCTTCAGCTGCTCTGTGTCACATTCTATTAAATACCCTCACTATGTCAAACCAAATTATCATGCAATGCAATATTAAAATGTCTTGAAAATGAGGCTAAATAGACATTAATGAAGTGTATTTTTTCTACTTAACAGTATCTTCTTTCATAATTTATTATCGTCATAGTCTAAATGTTGAAATGAAAAAAAAAAACTTCAGGGTGAATTTACCCTTCTATTTATCTATAACTCGTGACCGCTATGCATAATCTCAAAATTAGTTTAATATTCAGATTTCTCACCCTAAAAAATGGATTGTATGAATTTTTGCTCCAATAAGTTCATTAGTTAAAGCAATCACTTGAGAAAGAAATCAGCAAAACAAAGCCTACTTTAAAACATTTAGTAAATTAAAAGTTATCTCTTATTGTAGTAATTGGGTATTCTAAATTTTATTGCTGGTATGTATCATAGGTATTATAATCAATTTGTTATCAATATCTGTGAAATTAATAAGCCTAAGACATTTTCTCTTAACTTTCGATAAATCAACAGTGTGTAGTTCAACATTATTAATTTCATGTACCTTGAATATTTTTAGATGTGTTGATTCAATAGGATAATTAAAAAATGGTTCTGTAGCATCATATATTTTTGCATGAAGTGTTATTTTCGTATTTTGATGTAAAATTTCTTTTATTTCGTAAATATGTCCAGCAACATCTTCAAAGCAGTCTTTGTTTTGAAGCGAAAATGTCTCAAAGATTATTTTCTTAATATTATTTGTACCAGTAATAAACTTTAAAATTGGGTAGACTTTAATATTTGAAGGCAAAGTTATCTTATTTCGTTCAACAAGTCTGTTATGAAGCTGCTGCAGAGGTTTAGAAGAAGACCTAACTTTCTTTTTTAAAAACTGCATAAAATTTTCAAATTTGAAAGCACTGAACTCTTCAAGAGCACCGAACTTTTGCACATCATTCGACAAATGAAGAAGATTATGAACATTATAGCCAATGTATTGTTCGCCATATAAAACAGAATAACATTTAACGAACCAGTGTAGTAATGAGCTTGCATAATCATTAAGACTTATACACTGTGTTTTATCAGATAACATACGTATTGCAATACTAAGTGACAAAAAATGATCATATTTATCCTGACTTAAAATTTTATGG